TCCGTGGAAATCTATAACATCAATTAAAAAATCTGTAAGCAATTCGTAAAAATTAAAGACGAAATTCTTGGAAATTATTCATTTTCCTCCTTTTGAGGTTAACAATTACATTACTTTCAAAAATGTTAAAATATTCTAGATTGCAACACTGGAACTAATGGTGGCCATGAAGGAAGCTCTGAAATAGATAGATGAATGGTGTAAGGGGCAAGCACTATAGCCATCTGACAAGATGGTTGTAGTACCCTTCACAAGAAGAAGAAATTTTGTTGGACTCTGAACTAGGAGAGAGGTGTATAATATAATATAGTATAATATAATATAAGCTTACCTGGAATGTACACTTGGAAAACTGGTAAGGCGAAGCAGACATTGTGTGTATGTCGTCGCCTTCTAGGTAGCAACAGAAAAAACATGTTTCACAAGTAATTTTGTAAAAGAAATTTGAAATTTGATCAGAAAAAGTTTGAAACACGGAATATGATTTAAGAAGCTTAATTCTTTTAAATTGGATTAGCTAAAGAGGTATGGGCCTAGTACTGAATTATGTAGTTAACCTAGACATATTTATTAAAACCATAAAAAAATCCGTAGATTTATTGGAAAATCTAAGATCATGTCAAAAATCCATGGATCTATGGATAAACGCGTAGGAATAACAACACTGCTCGTCAGCAAGGGAATTATATACTAGACGGCAGATGGCCAAGAAGCAGGTTGTGTTCTCAGTCCCAATAAAAGTGTGTTTGAATTAGTTGAATAAAATAAATAACAAAACAAAACAATATTATAACAAATGCAAGTTATATAGTTCAGTGTATCACTTTGCGGTTGCTAAAGAATTATATCTACATTCTCTCAAATACATATCGGTCAATTCATTAAGCTGTACTAATTATACCTATAATATCCCAAAAATTAAGTTGTTTTGATATTTTGTGACAAATAAAATTTGTGTACCAACTGTAGCATACTTTTTCATGTTAATATTTTTACCTACGACCACTACTGTAAATCCTTAAAAACACACTGTCTGCGATCAATGTAAGATTGTTATTACGTACGGTAAAAAAATCGCATAGTTTTCCTACCAACCACCTAGCAACGGTCAATACAATACTGTTTGTATTGACCGTTGCTAGGCGGTTGCTAGGAAAACTGTACGATTTTTTTACCAAGCTGTGCGATTTTTTAACCGTACGACGTAATAGGAATCTTGCATTGATCGCAGACGGTGTGTTTTTAAGTATTTAAAGTAGTGGTCGTTGGTAAAGTATAGTACGTAATACGTGGTGTAATGCAATTACGCACTCGCCGCTACGCGGCGTCATGCGTAACTTTTCCATTCGAGCGTAAAATGCTTTTTACAACACTTATTAGGTAATATACTATTAAACTGTACTATTGCCATTTTCTGTGACCAAAGCGCGTTACCATAATTTTTTTTAAAAATGTGCATCTTATTGATTTGCATTGATTTGCAGCCAGTATACCGCCCCCTCCCAGTTTTTTGAAATATGTAGCACTGAAAGAGGAATCCCGAAATATTATCGTTGTATGCACTGTTTTTCTTTTTCTTAGTCTTTCTAGTGAATGGTAATTATCATATTTGAAATGAAAAAACGAAAATATAAAAATTTTTATGTATACTGTATACTTTATACTTGTTTTTTTTTTTAATGCGCCTAAAATGTGTGTTAACTGACTGATTAAATAAAGATACGATTTTCTTCCTTTCCTTTAAGATTATCTATATAAATTTTTAATATGCAATATTCAATAATAAGTAATATGCATGTCAGTAGTAGTAATATGCATGTCATATAACAGGGTCATCTGGATGTAATGATGTAGGTACATTTATTGCCTTCACATAAATTGTATAGGTAGTACCTAGCACATATACAAATGATATATAATTACCTGGATAAATATATGAAGTAAACTTTTTCTGCTAATTGTTAATTAAACAGTAATTTTGTTTAATGAGTCTTGACATTCAGTAACGTATGAACTGACTAATAATAAAAAAATAGGGTTATTATACCTAGCCAATTTGTTAATTAACTAGAATGATGGGCTATTAAATAGTGCGTCTTAAATTTCAAGGAAAAATATTTTTATATGTACGCAAATAATATTAATTAAATTTTTTATGGTTTTCTTGTAAATATTACTGTCAAAATTTTACCACACCACATGCCAAATCATGCGTGAACAAAGGATTATGCAATATATTTATACAAAGTACGAACATGCTAAGCAAAACCCACACACTGTGTACAAACATGAAATTATCATACATTTACTGTTATACATATACCTAATTTTACCATAGTGAGTGTTATTACGCATTTGTGAAATTGTGCAAGTAATACATATATGTTGGAACTTTAAACATTTAAAACTGGTATAAAAAACAATGATTTTGTGTCAGAAATCTAGGCCATACGAAATCTATGATTTCTAACAAAATTAATAATTAAAAGTAATCTGTTTTATACAAGAGAAATGACAAGAATAGGTATATTAATAAATATAAATGCATCCAAAATAAAAATATAAGTATATCTACTTAAAAAAAGCATGTTTAATGTAGTTGAAATCACTACATTAGTTTAAATATTGTGTGTTCATATTATATGATTTGAAAGAAAAAATTGTCTTCGAATAATTGACACCCTTTAATGTTACAGTTTTAGTAATCAACTTCAAATTTATAATATGTTAAAGCAGACCTATGCTTTACTTGTATGATAAGAACACAAAATATTTTAAATTGGAATAAGCTTTACCTGGAAATTAACCTGATCTCCATGGTTTTAAATAAAATTCCAATTTAAAATCATTTGTTAAAATATAAAATCATGCAACGTTGAATGAAATGTCTTAGTTGAAATAACATATTTAAATGATATGGATAGAATACAGAAAATAATTATTTAAGGCTATTATTAAAATTTTAAAAAGGATAGACGTTATCGCGAAATTGATATCATGTGTTGTGCCTAACATGGAATTATAGCTTTTGAGTAAAAGAAACGATAACGTTCTTTTCTAATATATTTTTCTTTACCAATTGCTGCGGAAATGTTTAGTAAATCGACAAATATTGGTAAATTTCCAACATTAGCATAAGGAAATTTTATACGAACAATTAGTAAAACATTTAAATAATAATAGCTTGAAGTATATTTAACTACAACCAACAAGACCTTCATATATCTTTGTTCTTTTTCTTTTAAATAATTGAATATACAATTGCTATTTACCTACTATATATAGAGAGAACGCGTGGGTTGGAACAAATTCATTTAAAATTCAGGGATGTTTTTTTTTTTGGAAAAACGCTCGGACACGTCGTTTTTTATGTTTGGCTGCAACTTTTCTTATAGTAAATTCATGCATACAGGGTGGCCCAAAAATAAGTTACAATAATCAATTTCATTTTTTGAAATGGAAATATGTATCTGTTTTTTATTTCATTCTTGAATATTGCACCGAATTCTAAGATGTTTCACTGTCCTATACCTAAATTCAATAGTTATCGAAAAATTTACTTAAATTTTTTTATTTATTTATTAATAAAATCGAACAACGAATCAAATTAAATGTTCAAATTGTTGACTATTAACTTCCTGACATTAGGTAAGTCGAACTTCAATTTCTCGTAACACTTTAGTTAACGTTTGGGGCTGGATTTGTTGTATTTTTGCTCTAATTGTTCCTCAGTTCTTCAATATTTTCCGGCTTATTGAAGTAGACTTTGGATTTCAGATAACCTCAGAATCTGAAGACCTAGTTGGCTCTTCGATAAAACTTCTTCTGATCCATCTATTTGGGAAAATATTGTGAATGTCATCTCTTACTGTTCGCGAATAGTGTGGAGGTATTCTGTTGGAATCATATTGAATCTGCCGGTGCATTAGGATTCTTACCATTCGAGTTAAGTGCAATTAAATTGGGTATATGTAATTTTGTAGTCTAAATATTTTTCAGTTAAGTGTGCCCTCAATAAAAAAGGGACCCACAATTCCGGCCCATACGTTTACTTTCTGGGGGAATTGTGTAAGATTTTCCATCCTCCAGTGTGGGTTTTCTGGTGCCCAATATCGAAAATTTTACCTGTTTACAGAACCATTCAAACAAAATGTTGCCTGGTCGGAAAAAAACTGTCTTACTTAAAAATTGCGGGTTAGTATTGCATCTATCCATCATTATTTCGCAAAATTCTAATCTGCGGTGGTGATCATCTTCAATAAGTTGCTTAACTAAATGTACATTGTATGAGTGCCATTTTTCTTCTGTAAATATTTTAGAACAGAATATTTACTTATTGTCTGTTCTGCACTTGCCAAGTTGATTTTTGAGGATTTTCTTGTAAATCGAGGAAAACATTAAATTGTAAGACTGTTGGTTTTGTAATTGTCTCTTACGTGGCCAGTCTCTAAACTTTTTTTCTATCTTATTAACTACCGGTCGTGTAGGCCTCTCCGGGTATTTATCATTAAACAATTCGCAAACTTCAGCTTGTGTCCGAGTCCTATCGCCATATCCTACCATCATCAAAATTATAAATCGTTGCTTCTCAGTTAAACGCCCCATTCTTTCAAACCTTACACTTGACAATAATTACTTATTTTAAGTAAAATTATCACAGTTTCCATGTGACAAAACAGTGACAAGTCAACAATCAAAATTACCAGAATTGAAAATAAACACACAATTGATTTCTCTTGATTTACAAAAAAACCTCAGAAATCAAGTCGAGAATATACTGCTCAACAATTGAACTGGATACTTGTGATTATCTTATCGCCTGTTCGAGCGTTTTTCCAAAAAACATACCCCTGAATTTTAAATGAATTTGTTCCAACTTAAGCGTGCTCACTGTATAATAACATAGTTTTTCTCTTTGGTAAGTAGGTACTTATTTTCATTAAGGATATAAGACATTTCAAGCAAATTTAATTTTACGAACTACGTTTAAATATACGTACCTGGACACTGTTTGGTGATGATACAATTATTTCCAAGAAGAAGAACATCTTTTAAATGCATCGATCTTCGCGCCAGCCCAAGTAGAAGATGTTCACCTGCGTGTGCTCTTAACAATGCTACCTAAAAATAGAGCATATAATAATATTAATAATAATAATGAGCCACAGCAACAGCAACAAGAACAATAGTAAATATAATAGTAATATACAGGGTGTCCCAGAATAACGTGTACATCGGAAGGCCACAGATTCGTGGACCCAAAATAGGCAAATTTAAGCTAATTCTCAAAGTTCGTAAAAATTTCTTGAATTTTGTAAATAACTCGAATATGTATTATTCGATTTTGATTATTTTTGGGGTGTGGACTTATGCTTTCAATCTACAAATTTTGGTGTTATACAGAGTGTTTTTTAAAACTTACAACTTCTACAAAATTAATGTATGGTGATAATATCCATTCATAAGTTTTTCCTCTTTGGGGCAATAACTATTTTTTATTTGATAGCATTTCGAAGTTTTTGGGTCTCTTGTAGAATTTTGATTAAATGAGCAGTTTGGGTATAAAAAAATATTTTCTAAATGTATATATTATCTTGCTACCAATATAACAGTGCTAGTAGGCTCTGATTTTGTAGGTTGGGTGTAATTTCAGTTTGATCTTGAAATCATTGTACCTGCCAATTGTGTTTTACTAGAAGCGGAATAATAAATATTCACAATGAACATGTGTATGCTCAAGAAAATACACATGCTATCAAAGTGAAACATTATCAGCATGAATTTCGCATCAATGTTTGATTTAGGATCATTGATACCATTATTATTGACCCCGTTATTCTACCCAACAGACTGAATGGGGAATTTTATTTAGAATGTTTGCAAAACCCAAGTGATTGGAAGATGTGCCGTTATTACTCAGAGCTAACATGTGATTTATGCATGATGGCGCTCCACCACAATTCACTGTAAATGTCCGGCGGCATCTGAATCAAAGATTCCCTCGTCGATAGATCGATAGAGGAGATAATGTTACTGTTAATGGGACTGTACGTTCACCCGACTTAACACCCTGCGACTATTATCTTTGGGGCACACTGAAAACAACAGTGCATGTTTCCACATCTAACACTGAAGAAGAATTGTGGAGGCATATTCAAAATGACATAAATGTTTAAAAAAATAGTCCTTAAGAACTGCAAAGGGTGTCCTTTAACTTTCTTCTCCTAATTAACCTTTGTTGTAGATGTTGTTGTTGATTGTTGTTAGTCATTTTGAACAGTTTTTATAAGTTGTATTAAATTTAATAACATCAACTTTGTTACTTTCATCTCCAGCATTTTTTATTGTATTTGATTGTTTTTGAGAATTATTTCAATAAAATTAGGCACGTTGTAAATAACTCTAATTTGTCGTATGTGTGTATCCAGTATCCATATCAAAAAATGACGTAGCATGTGGTATACCTTATCGTAGTAAACACTCATTAAGAATTGGTAGGTACAGTGAGTTAAAGATCAAACTGAAATTACAGTCAACCTACAAAATCATAGCCTTCTAGCATTTTGGTAAGGTGGCCATATCCCTGGCAGAGAAATAGTCAAATTTCTGGCGTTTTTAGGTACTGAAATCTTGAAAAGTAAAACGTGTAGAACAAAAGTAAGCACAAAAATAAAATCCTTGATGTTCTGTTTATTCTTTGTTACTATTTAAATTTGCTCAAATAAAATAATAACTAAAAAAAAGCGTTTGTAAAACATGCATTTGCTGTTATCCTAACCCCACATTTTAAGAATTATTTTCACGTACTTATAAATAAAAGTAAACAATTTTATACGTAGGACTAAGCAAGTAAATGTTATAAGAATATTTACATGTGGAGTTATATATAAAAAAGTTAGTATTTTCGTAGATTTCAGTACCTAAAACCTTGATGGTTTGATTGTTTTTTGCACCTGTTTATTCGTTTTACTGCGGCGTCTTTGAAAATACTCAGGTGGCATGACATAACATTCCTATTATTTGAT